TGCTCGTTCGAGCTCTTCTGATGTGCTATGTTGAAAGTGTCGGGGATTCTCGACTGGTGCGACTCCGTCAGCCAGTACTAACCCTACTGCAGTGTCGCTTCCAGGCCGATGTTAAACCCACATTCATGAGTAGACATAACACGTGAAGAAGAGTGAGAATGGCGAATGGTCGACGCTTCCCGGGGCGTCGAGTAGAGCGAGGAAGTGGATTCGAAAGGTAAAGATGGAGTCGCAGTTTATCAGAATAATTTGGATCATTGTAGGGATCTTGTGGATCAAACGGATAAAATCGGAAGCGACGTGGAAGAAGAAGCAACGAAAAGGAAGGACAAAAGCGTCTGGTATTTGGTATTTTTTGGCCGGGCCTTTTTTATTTTTTATTATTTTTTTATTTTTCCTTATTACCAGTCACCAGTCATACCACTTGCGACTGTCCCCCCTTCTCTTTATCAGTCGACTGATTCCCCCAACCTCCTGCCGTACCGTTTGCGGCTTCTCTATATCCCACCACTTGGGATTCTTCTCTTTCCGGTCCTACCGTTTGGGACCACTCTTCCTCTCACCAGTCGTACCACTTGCGACTGTCCCCCCTTCTCTTTATCAGTCGACTGATTCCCCCAGCCTCCTGCCGTACCGTTTGCGGCTTCTCTATATCCCACCACTTGGGATTTTTCTCTCTTTCCGGTCCTACCGTTTGGGACCACTCTTCCTCTCACCAGTCGTACCACTTACGACTGTCCCCCCTTCTCTTTATCAGTCGACTGATTCCCCCAGCCTCCTGCCGTACCGTTTGCGGCTTCTCTATATCCCACCACTTGGGATTCTTCTCTTTCCGGTCCTACCGTTTGGGACCACTCTTCCTCTTACCAGTCGTACCACTTGCGACTGTCCCCCCTTCTCTTTATCAGTCGACTGATTCCCCCAGCCTCCTGCCGTACCGTTTGCGGCTTCTCTATATCCCACCACTTGGGATTCTTCTCTTTCCGGTCCTACCGTTTGGGACCACTCTTCCTCTCACCAGTCGTACCACTTGCGACTGTCCCCCCTCTCTTTATCAGTCGACTGATTCCCCCAACCTCCTGCCGTACCGTTTGCGGCTTCTCTATATCCCACCACTTGGGATTCTTCTCTCTTTCCGGTCCTACCGTTTGGGACCATCCTCTTCTTCCTCTTTTTTCTTATTTTCGGGGAAAGTCGTACCACTTACGGCTTCCCCTTCTTTTTTTTTAATTTGTGTTTTAGGTATGTTTAGGTATCGCCGCCGTCGCCGACGATGGAAAGATCTCGCCGGTGTATCGACTCACCGGCACATATCCCATAAAAAGACTAAGTCTAAGTTTAAGTCTCTAAGTACCTCTAGTCTCCCTAACTTCTAAACTCGCCGTAGTCGGCAATCCCTAGGTCGTAGTCGACCACCCATAGCCGTAGTCGGCTACTCCCCAAGCGCCGAGGCTTCCCGTTCCTCATAATCGTAGTACCGAGGCGTTGGCTGGGTGGCGGCTTATCCGCTTTACCCTAAAATCGGGTGATTGGCCTGGCAAGCCCTTCAGCCCTGATTCCGTAGCCTGGAATCGAACCCTACCCAAACGCCCCTGTTTCAAGAACTCTCGAGTGCTTGGAAACTGCTATTGGGGCGTTATGGATGGTTAAGCTTTAGAACTTTGCTTCACCGGGTGTCCTCCATACTAGTCAGGATGGCATCTGGACCTGACCTATATTGACGTGGTTTGGCCAGCTATGTCAATATGTCCAGCCTTTCGGGTGCACATGGACCGTGCTTCTTGGCATAGTAGCTTGCTACTTTGTAGTGGCTTGCTACTACTTAGTAGTAAGCTGCTATGCTGAGAACACAAAAACCACATTACCATATCACCAGTAGACCCGGGGCCCAGCCAGACGTGGCTTGCCCAACCACTTCTACTTCTATTATCCTCGGATGATAGTTGTGGGATGTCCTTGGGTGATCCCCATGGTGGGATCGGCGATGACCCACATCAGGTTTCGGCCTGATGCTGGTGAGCCTCTCCTTCATGTGCCGAGCCTCTACGTGGCGAAGGAGATCAACTGACTAGGCTCGTATTGGGCAGAGTCAGGCTAATCGGTACACGAATTCCAACGGCCCTCTTTAGGTTTTCTCTTCTTTTTGATTATACCTCCAATACCAAATTCGCTTTGTCTATCGAATTATCCCTATTCCAAGAATCCTGTTGAGAATCCCAACTACAAAAGGAACCTTTTTAATTGGTTTTTGAAAAGTTGAGAAAAATAACACAATTTTATTTTACCATATTCCCTAATCTTGTATCATTTCCTCCCGCATTGATATTTTTTTGGTTTTCTCCTTTTTAAATTCTTCGGAATCGAGTATTATTCCTCTCCGAACGTGTGAGCCTTTACTTATTCAATGTCTTCGTTTTTTTTTTTAATTTCGTTATCGTGTTTTTTTATAGAATTTTTAAATATTTTTCCCTATTTAAAACCAACATTATGAATATTAGTGAAATCATGAAAGTAAATGAATATTCCATTAAATGTTTTCAATCATTTCCAAAGTCTAAAAACCTAGAAGAATTGCTATTCTTGCAGGACACATCCAATATAAATACGCTATTACAATAGTTTTTTTCAATAGTTTTTCTTATTGTTCTGCACGTGTTCGCACTCTCCCATAATACACCAAATTGTTGGCGCAATATGGGGTGAACAATTCAGTCGAGACTATAGGTGAGATTTATTCAGTTAAATACTGAAATAAGGTCAAATGCTGCTTTTCCTCATGCAGATGTTCGAGCTTTTGCTCGGAATACTGTTGTCTGCACTTTTTCCCAGATTAAACCTCGCTGCTGTTTTTAAATTCAACAGATTAGTAGCGAGTCTTCGTGGAGTAAAACAGCTCCATTTGAAATTCATATGGTTGATGCATATATGTATTTGCTCACAACCTTGTCACTGTTAGTGCTCAATACTTTCTATTCTGGAGACGGCAATCTACACTACGCTGTATGAAATTCGCCAGAGTTTCTGTGCCTTTTAGTGAGTTTTTTTGCCTGAGATACGGGTATCTTTTTCTGGATAAGACTTTGGAAGAGGAAAAATAGAATGCAATGATGAACCGATTGAGAATGTCGAAGATAGGGTTTCTTTTGTTGAAACCGACGTCGAAAACGAAGGTTTGTTTGCTAATTTGCTTTTAATTTTTAAATATTAATTTTTCAGATCTTATTCCATTTCAAACCAGATATTCTTCCCAATGTTCATTTTTCCAGAAGTAAACAATTTTTTTAAAAGTTTATTTGCGATACTCTTTATTTATAGGTTTCAGGTAAATATTTCCTTGTTTAACCCATCAATCTTTTTAATATTGACAATTCCGCTACAAATTAATTAATTTCTTTATATGTAGTGAACATTTTTTTTATTGAAACTTTCAAATTAATGTTTGATAAATCATTTTTTTATTTCTTTTTTATCTTCACATTGTGCATGTGCGTACATTACTCTGCAGGCAAAAAACCCCAGTAGTTTTAATAGCGATGACACATATCATACATATTCTAACATTTTTCAATTAATCCTAATGGGAAGAATTTGTATTTCATGTATGTATGTCATACAAAAGAAAGAATCAAAGACGGATGCTGGCAGATATATTGTGATGTAATCTTTATTATTCACGTATGATAGGATTGCAATGCTGTGTTGGAATCGGCGATGACCCACATCAAGTTTCAGTTTGATTCTGAAGAACTTCTTCTTTGAGCCTCTACGTGGCAAAGGAGATTAACTGATTTGGTCCAACATTAGTCATTCGTTGCTTGTTATACGCTTCTACTCCTATTTTTTTTTGGATTTTACGCGTGCGTTTCTAAGAGAGACCCATGAGGAGGGATTGGCGATGGTTACTAACGTTTCGATCTAAGACTGGTTAGCCCGTCCTTCGTGTACAAAGCCTCTTAGTGGAGAAGAAGATCAATTTATTGAGAATCGAGTTGACTAGTACATCGTCTCACGTAGGTCGAGAGAATAATCAACGGTTTCTTTATGACCATCAACTTAAGAAAGAATTGGACTCGCAAGTTACCTACTTAATTTTTCAATAATAGATGCCTTCAATTTTTCAATTTTTTTGGAAAAATAAACAGTGCTTCTAAGATCTTCTGAAATCATCGTCTCATCCCTACATTTTTTCAAGTCTCCTTGTTGCAAAAAAAAACTAGCAACTACCTTTTGAATGATAATGACATATTGAGATTCACCCCAGAATATTTCTAGACGAGCATTCATTCCAAATTCCGGTTCACTTGACCCATGAATAAACGTCCTCGCATTAGCTTCTGAGCCACCATGATCAAACGGCCTATTTCTCATCTCACCTTTCTAGACTTCATCTTTTTAGATCTTTTCACAACAAATTTGAATGGATTTTGAAAAACAAAGACAAAGCTAAAGTAGTTCAGTGTTTTCTCAAGTTCGTCCCATCTTCTGAAACTCTTTTCACTGTCTGTATTGGTATTTAACTTAAACAGACCAAGTGCACAGATGGCTCATTTAAATATATGATAATAAGCATAAGTATACAAAACACGACATTTATTGTATTGTCTATTTTCAATATTATGACGGGGTGGAATGCTAGAATTCAAAGGGAATGCGAACATTTCACTAGAAATCTAATTAAGTATATGATATCATAAGTAGAAAGCGAATTATTTGATTTCAGGAAAAAAAACAAATATATGATTAATGAAGTAAATACACAACAAACTCTAGCCTAATATGTATATTGATTGTATTGAAGCGATATTATGATTTGTTCAAGATCTAGCATACTAGCGTAATTTTGTAATACTTGAAGAATAATTAAGAATACTATGTTAACATTTAAGAACAATCTTTGGCAAAACCATAGACTAAGATGCGTATTGTGCTTAAATGGAAAGTTTTAAAATACTATGCTAGTAATTATTCATAAGATTTCCGCTCAGCGATTACATACAAAATTAATCATTTTGGCGAGGAGTTGGGACGAAAGCAAAATCTGGTTGCTTAACTCTATCGGTGTAATTCAACTCTCTGAGCGACGGAGCAATGTAGTAATAAGACGAATGCAAGTTCCAGCTGAGATATCTTAATCCAAACGTGGCGTTTTTCTGGGGAACAATTTTCATATCCCACAACAACTCGCTCTCCCCGATCTGAAATGTCTCAAAATCATCCAATCATTAACGAATTTTCGTTACTTTTTGTCTTCTGTCATCAAACATCGAGTACTTGCGAGAAATCTGGAATCACAACGAAACATTGTTCCACATTTTTTTTCGCATTCACATAACCTTAACGTGATTCTTTTCAATTTTCCAGGTTCCACAAAGAGCTTGTACACCTTCGAAAAGATGGTAGCTGCGCATTGGATCGCTTTGACCTGCCAATTGCTTGGATGTACCTGAAAAAAAAAACACATTGCTAGTTGACGGTTTCTTTTGAAATCGTACCATCAGGATAAAATTTGATCATGTCATATCCTTCAATTATATCTGGACGGTCAACTAGCTGAAAATCAGACAATGAAATTTTTTTATTGTCTAGAAATCTCACCGGAGCCGATCGAGGCTCCTCAGATTCATCACGCAATTTCTTTGATAGATAGAAACCGTCAAAGAGAAGGTGCGGAGTTCTGAAGAAGCGCGTTCTCCATGACAACCCATCGTTCTCGTTCGCCGCAATGTTGGTCGATCTTTTGTAGATATCCTTCCAAAGCACTTCATCCCTAATATGGAAACTTCTTATCCATCTATTTTTGAAAACGAACCTTGTAAACAGGAAAAAATTAGAGCTTACAAGCCCAATTCTCTCAAGACTTGCCAAATCCAATGTACTTCCAACAATTTTGTCAATGAGGACACGAATTACCTCATTAGGGAGTTTATCGATATAGCATGGATTTTCTTCAATATATATTATTATAATACATTCTTAACATTGCATCTTTACCGTCATTTTTTTGGAAACGATCCTGAAACTTTTCCGTTTTTTCTTTAATTGACGCAACGAGCTTTTTGTTGGCCTTGTCGTCAACAGCTAAAATCGATGTGACCTTGAAAACATGAAAAAAAGCCTAAGCGACAATACCAAAGTTCTTATAGAATTCGACAGTGCACTCGATTTTGAGACTAACGAAATCGTTATAATCGAGCAGAATTCGTCGAAAGCTGAAATTGAAGAAAATTGCTGTGAATTTTCAGCAATTTCCTACTATTTTTGAGCGGCAATTCGCTTACAGTTGTGCTCATGAAGAACGCCTTTCTTCATTAGCTCCTTTGCCTCTTCGTACTAAAAAAAAAACAAATATGATATTTTTATTGTATGTAGTGCCGGCGGAATTTTGTTACATTATTACCTAAATTAAGCATTCACCTAGATTTCCCGAGGATTTAAAGGTCATTTGAGGGTAAGAAAAAAATCATCCATATTTGATTTTTCAAGCATTGGGATTAACCAAGTTCAAATATATGCGTTTTCGTTTTCACAAGAAAAATCAACGTAATTCAAGTTTGCCAAACTCATTCTATTATTTTTGCACCAATTTTCAATGAAACATACAGTTTGTTGTTGGGAAGCCATTTCCTGAAAGAACAACGTCGCTCAGTGGAAAGAATCGATCGATTGGGGCGAAAACGACAAAAGTGTTCAGCGTATGGACAATGACGACAATTTACATATGACACCGAATAAGCAAGAACGCTCCAGCGAGAATAACGATTTTTCGCAGCGGTTGCCGCTTTTGCTCCTGCTTTGTGCAGATGAGATGAACAGAGTGAATGCGAACTTTGAAGAAACGGAAGCGAATGATAGAGAGGTGCGAGAAAGTGGGAGCACGTTTTCTTTCAGCTTCTTTGTTGACTAGTAAATGAAACTAACGATTTTGGAGAATTGTTCAAAATCACATTAAGAAAGGTAAAAACAGAATCTGAGGTGGAAAACGATTTTGTTTGTTTCCGATTGATTTTTTTTTTTCCAAATGTTCAAATTGGTTTAAAAAGTAAATAAATGAAAACTCCTTGGGCTGATGATGGCAATGAAAACTTGTTAAGATTATACGTCAGGAGAAATCCCCCCTCCCCAGCCCATTCAATCGTTCTAAACATGGGCATTTTTCATAAATGCTTCACTATGGAAAAAAGTGTTCATTGACGATATAATGCGAAGACTCAAAGCGAGAGAAGAAAGCAGATGCATGATGGATCTTTCCTCTTGCCTAATTGAAAAAAAAGGGAAAGCTCTCTGAGCAGGATTTTAAAACGAGCAAAGCCTTAAAAGCTACCATAAATGGAATCCTTGTCGCATTCAATGAGATTACTTTTCCGTTTTCAAGAATTGAAAATCGAGATTAATTTCAATGATGACGGGAAGCTTAAATTTTTTTATTGATGAATGCATAAAGTAGTTCAAATCAATTAATAATCGTCGGAATCGGACGGGCGATCGATGTAATGCTCGACAACGCTCATCCAAACGTTTCCAAGAAGCTCCACGTAGCCATGGACCACCAAGCAGTCAACGGTCCTCGAGCAATAGCGACGATAACGATTCGGATGGAACTCATCGCTGGCGCTCACAATGCTTCCTCAAACATGTTATTCGATAATCTTATCAAAAAAGTGCGCTCACCGTCCGAGCAAATTTTCACTATAGTGACATATTTTCGGTTCCTCCATTCAGCCTCGAAGCGCTTCTTAATAGAATTGTTATATTTGTCTACTTCATTTAGTTGTTTCACCTCAGCTCTGTCATATGGTGTCTCGGTGTGCTTCATGGCCCACAAGCAATAAAGGAACACGCTTTTCATGTGATATTGTTTGATCAATGCCGGCGGGAACTCATATACGGAAAACTTGCTGTATAGGGTTTTCCACATGTCAAGTTGGCTAGAAATTCAAGAAGTGAATTTCCAATAGGTTTCAATTTACCTTGAAGCAATGTAAAACTGCTTGCATGTTAATGTAATACTCTTATAATCTTTAAAGTTGAGATCCGACATCGCATGCTCCAAAATTTTTTGAGTCAACTCTGCTCCAATTATATTGAATCCGCATTTTTTTGCTTCAATATACAATCATATAGAAGAAGAACTGGCAGTTAATTAAATTATGTACGTGATTCATATAATTATTTTTTTTCACTTTTTGCAAAAACACGATGACTGATCGTTTGAGATTGTACATTGATTTGTCAAACCTGGTCTGTAAGGCTCGATTAGATTCGGTTTGTCACTGAATTGCACCAGCTTCTTATTCGTATCACTCTCGAACTCGTCAATTTTCGCAGAGTCGGTCCGGCCAGCAGTGGTTACTATAATTGGTCATGTTTCATGTTGCTCACTAATCTACATATTACCGTATTTGATCTCGTCGGCTCTCGGAAAACGCTTCCAAACGCCAGGAGACAATTTCATAGCAGCGGCGTAGCTGAAAGAATGTATAGTATAATCTGAAATGAAGTTACGAATCACCATCCAAGAGCGTCGACAAGGACCGAATCCTTCTCAAAGTCCATTCCATTCCCGTACAATCTTTTGGCTTTCTTCTCCTGCACACGTCCATATTAATGTTGTCATAATGTAAAAATAAAATATTTACCCGAATTTTGTAAATGAGAATTTTGAATTGACGGCGAACACGATCGGTATACCAAAACGTCTCCCATTGTTGATGCGTGAACTCGCCGGTTGCTCCACGCTTGAGTAGTCTTACTTCAGGATTTCGATTCATTTCAAGGTTCATCTGGAATCAAATGAAACGAATATGTGAACGTTGGGATACGAAGAAATATGTCTGCGCAAGGGGTATAATCAAATGAAAAAAAAAACAATGTGAATCGTTTCCTCGTGCTCCATAAAAGGGCGGGGTTTGGCGCTCATACGACGTTCGACTCCATTATGCACAAGAAAAAAAAACAACTGCGCTGAGCATGAGCGGCGGGGCGGCTCGGAATGTTCGAGCTCGCTCAACGTCTCGCTTCAGAGAAAAAAAAAACCGAACAGGCGAAGTATTCGGCATAAATCTTCCATAAGCAAATTAGAAAACATGGCATGAATGACGTTTTTTTTTATTTCGAATTGTGTGAAAAGAGAAGACAATGTAAATGGATGCGAGAAACTCATCGGCCATTACAACGAAAACAAAATGCACGAAATGAAAGAGGGTTAACATAAATTTGTGCGCTTCTGATTGCTGTTAGACAAAGAAGATGGTGACGAGAATCGAGACTATGTAGGAGACCACTAGCATCCAGTTGAATATCTTTAATAATTTATTATTAATATTGGAAATTTTCGCATAACGATTTTACCGTGGCCGTAATAAATCGGGGATGATAGACGCTATCATAATGCTTTCCTGTTTTTGACGACCTTGAAATGTACCACGATTCCAATGAAGCTGAGATGATGAGTAGAGCCAAGCAAATTCCGTAAAGGATAAGAAGCTGAAATTGGTCGAAGTAATGTCTGTTTTTTTTTTCAATTTTTCTTTCGCTATTATTGTACTTCACGATTTGTTTTTCTTTTATGTTTGTAGTTTTTAAGTGACAACTAAAAAATATTGTGCATATGAAAGGGGCCAGATTGTCTACAAGGTCTTGTATGTAAAAAAAATGGCTTTCATTCTTTTAAAGTTAAAGAGATTCGAATCGCTGTTGTCATAGATATTCAAATTGTGATGCCAATAAATTGTGCATTAATATATGGTGTGCAAAACCAGACAATAAGACATTAGAAATTAAAAATTGTTCTCATTTTTTTATAGCTGAAATTTGTCACCTTAATTTTAGTGATTGTTCCAACAACGTCTTTTCCAAACAAGTTCGAGAGGAATATCATCAACGCAAACACCCAAGTGAAGAACAGAATCGCCAAGATGAGCGTCTGCCATCCAAAACCCTGCAATAATTGTATTCTATTAATAGATTCCATGCAAAAAAGTTCACATATGCACTTTTATAAGCGATGTGGATTTCCCATGCAATCCTCATCATTTTCCCACATTTTCTTTGCCACAAGTTGTATAGTTCCAAACACTAGAGCTTACATGCCCAAGTGCAAAATGGACTCACTGATATGCGTCTGTTTATCAAAACACAGACACCGTGAGCAATTAAGCGCAAAAACGTACAATTAAGTGCAGAGATACGTGGAAAGTCACATTTTGATAATAATAACTCTAATTCTAATGTCGACATAATTGGTTTCAAGAATTGGACTTGTTTTCTACCCCTTTTGCACACAAAAAAACCTATGATTTATTAAGTACCTTCTACTATTGGTTAAACAGTAATCCCGGGGGTTTAAGAGCTCGATTCGCAATCTACATACTAATCCAAATTTCGCGTTTCGGTTTTATATTTTTTTGCGAGCTATTTTCAGTTTTTAATACATTTTGTAAACATTGTAACGTACGCACCCGAATACCGGCAATAAAAAAAGAGTAACTGAAAAAAAGAGTCAGTGAGTGGCCATTTTTTTCTCTTCAACTTGGATGGACTGAAGGTTTTTCTAGTGACTCAATATTGATTTTGAAACGGCTAGAATTGAGATATATACGTATATAATGTCTGAAATATTTTCCAATATACTATAAAATAGAATTAAAAAGGCTATTGTCATTCATTTAAGGCTATTGTCATTCATTTGAAACTGTAGAAGTTTATTGAAAATTGTAACAGTGGCTTCAATATTGACAAATTCCCGCTTTATGGTTGGCTTTCATTTTTTGGTGTTTGAATTGCGGTAGATTTCTTCCATATAAGTGAATCATATGACCAGATTGCGAAACCACATTTTTTTGTATGAATTATACATTATCAATACAAAATTTACCCGGTAAATAAACTGGAAATACAAATCAGTGTCTCTCCAGATGAATGAGCTGGCGAAAAGAGCTCCAAATCCTAATAGCTGGAAAATAGGGATCGGATTAGGTATCATCAATAATTTATAAGATCTTACCACTTGGATGAAATTAAGGAATCCGTGCAAGGTTCGCAAAAACTCGAAATTCATTATTTTTGCTGAAATCAATAAGAACGAATGAAAGTGTGATATGCGAGTATTTATGAGAGATCACAATGTTCTGACGCGTACAGTTTCAAGAACTTCGTCTCAAAAAAATTTTTTTCCCGACGGGAGACGGATTGGTAAATATAATGGGAAGGCAGTGTGCACTTCTTGTCAACTTAAAACTAACTTTGTCAATAAACGCCTATTTTTTGGCTTTTGAAATGGACAAATTGAGAAATTTGGCTCAAAATGTTGCATGAATTATTTTTTTGGACATTTTCAAAAAAAAATTATGTATACCAAAATTGCATTAATGTTTGCGATTGATGGCAACGATTTATGAAAAAAAAAATTTTTTTGGGGGCTGTCGATAAATAGTATACCAAATGACAGAGGCGCTTGATTATTATTTGAACAAAAAGAGGATTTCGATGGAAGTGGAGGTAAGTCGCAGTAATGTAAATATTTGCATTTGGCAAAACTCCAGGTCCATTAAAAATTTCGTGTGCTTCATACCCATTATGAATTTATCAGGTTACTCGATGCTCATAATATTTCAAACAATCTTCTGGAATTAAATAGAGCAGCAATTGATGACGGGAAGTGTCATCCAAGTCCAGTAAACATTGCGAGAAGTAAATGGTTTTTTTTGGTTTATTGTTATTTGGCCACAAGTCACAGAACCGTTGAGTTGTGACTCATCAGAGCTCGAAATTGAAATAATATTTTTTTTATAAATCAATGACTAAAATGAATGAATCAAATGCTCGATTCAAACTCTTATCAGTTAATAGCTGATTTCGGAATGCCTGTTTTTGGTGTCGAGACTGCGTAAATATTGTGTATAATATTGGTACAGGAATGGTCTCAAGGCTGACAGGAAACTACGATACTAAACTTTTTTATAGGAAAAAGAAAAAAATCATGCGAGGAAAGTGATAAACTGACATGAAATGATAAGAGTCATTATTGTAGCAATTTTACGATTTTTCTATCATGTTAAAGAATTTGAGCCGGTGGAGAATCGTATTCTTTGACCGTTTGCAAATTTCAAGCTCAAAATTGATGCATCATGGGTTTCAAAGCAGAAAGGTAAACATTTATGTGAATTTATCAAAAATCAAAATTGAACAATAATAAAATGCACAATTCGTACAAGACAAACACGAGCAATTCTTGAGTCTGTATAAGGTTTTCAGTGATATCTCAAACATTCTCACCACAAATGATACAATGTGTTATCAACGCGCTTACCCAAAATAGTTTTGGGAGTGATTGATTCGCATAGTTAATAATGTCTTTCGTTATAGATAAACAATGCGTCATCGTGCAGAAAAGGAGCAACCGATTACAGGAGATGATAAAGCAATGATAAGGATTTTCACTACATAGCGGTTCGAAATTTTGTAGGAATAATCATGGTATGACGAATGCAAAAGAATTTCTAAGAAAAATATTTTCGTATACATTTTACGGTAGGGAAATTGGTTCCTATTATACAATTTATGGTGAAAAACTTTTCCGTGCAATTGAAAAAAAAACATACAATAGGTATTGAATCATTTTATAAATATCAGAAAAGAGATTGCAAATTATTTCAAATGTTGTATCTCTTTAATTTGTCCTGCGGAAGGAATAATTAGAAGCCCGACAAACTACTCCTTGAATGATTTTTAAACAAAAATTGTTGGAAAAATTATCAAAAAATTTCATCGTATTTTTTTAATCGAAATTTAAAAAAATTTCATTGAGTGTTTAAGCATTTTTAACGGCGCATCAAAGCTACACTTTTTTAAGCAAAACTTGTCTGAAATGTTTTTTATTGAATGGAGTCACTTGATGTCCCAAATAGGTTTGTTTTTATTAAAACTCTGTATTTTTTCTAAAAATAAAAAAAAATTCACAGTAACGTGCAGGAAATTATACAATTACGATATTTTGGCTGTAGTTATCCGAAAATATCAGAATTAAAATAAAATTTTTAGACAATCAAAAGTACCGATAGAGTGATTATATATAGACAGCATTAAGTACCGATAGAGTGATTGTATAAATAGACGATAAACGTTATTTCTAAGGGTACTGAACATTTATTTTCAATATATTTCGAAATAAAATGTGAAAACTATCATATAAATTCTCAAAAGACCATTTTGAAGAATTTCGGAATTTTTTGAGCGCAATAAAGCATTATCACTTTGTGATATTCTCAATCGAGTTCAAAAATCAAAATTGGATAGTTATCGTTTATTTGCATTCCAATTCCGAAAAAATTGAAATTCCACTTCAAAAATTTCAACTTTTGGTATTTTTTGATAAATGGCATTATGATGAGAAGAGCAGATTTTGTGGAATTACTTTCAATATTTTTTCATAAAAACGCAATTGAAAAAAGTTGAAAAAATTCAGAACAAAGACAAAATCTTGAATGAGGCCTATAATAGTATATTCCAATATCTCATACCCAGTCAATAGTTCGCTTTACTTGAATGCCTTAATTGAAAATTCAAATGACAGTGAAAATGAAACTAAATCAATATGCAAACTTAACGTTTCAAAATTCTGGCCAAGAATCAAATAAAATTAGTGTTTTCAATAAAAATTTCCAGACTCGACATTAAGTTAAAAATAAATTATTTCTTTTTGATTATTTTAATTTACAGAACATATAGCAATAAACATCAATTTTCTAAAAGAGCAGAAAGTTTCAGTTTGTGTTGCAACAACAATTAAACCTTAAGTAAACACGGGCGTCTTCGATTTTTTAGTAAAAAGTTCACTGAGAGTTCAAATGTCACAAGTCAATTTCAGCCAGACTTCAATTTTTTTCGTCTGATGTTTTTTTTCAAGTCACCAGACGGAGTGATGAATACTTCTGTGTGCATTGAACAATGCTATTCTTTTTCTTCTGAAGGGCTTGTTATTTCCTTCACATCGACATAACAAACCCAAAACACGACGCACAACAAAATAGGAAGGAAAAAAAATGGAATTTATATATTATTTTAGGATGTTCCTAATTTAATTCTATGTGTATATGTGCTCATTTTTCTTTGCTTTTTCTTTGCGTCGCACATTCATCAATTTTGAGGTGTCGGCAATTGTGTTGCGCATAAATTTCCTGAAATAAGCCCCACTCGGAAATCAATCCATCGAGGCGTAATGGAAGATTTAAGATTGCGTGTTGCGTATTCGTTTTGTAATTTTTTTTCACCATGTTTATTTTCTATTTTTGTATTAATAATTTCCATTATAACCATATATGTGCATATAAAAAAAAATATAGTACCAATTTTTGAGAAGTTTCGTTTAAATATTAAATTTTAATTTTCATCCCTATGCATAATATTCTGGAGTTCAATATTACCCATAAATATTATTATATGTACTATATTAGAAAAAATTGTGTAGATTGTAGACTTCAAATTGAAAGAAATAAACTATTAAAATTTCATTATTTTAACTATCTGATATGCCAAAAAACTAGATTTATTAGCATATTAAACCCGTCTAAACATTTCCAGATCATTCCCAACTAGTCGAATAAAAAAAACTATAATCCATTAGTCCGTTTAAATTCTGCATATATCTAGCTTCAAACTTTATATATGTATGTATTTCTTGCAGAAAAAGGAAGAAGAAAATAATAGGGTGTCAAATTTGTTTATTTTAGAAACTCTTTAAACCTTTTTCGCTGTTCCTCCTTTTCTTTTTATTCAACAATAGAAATAAAATCGCTCTTCTAAAAATACATTTTCTCATTATTTATTTCCAGCAAAAATCTAGTGCCCCTGTATATGCTATTCAGCTATTATTTATTTTTATTATTCAGAAATGCTTCAGGCTTTTGCCGAAATGATGAAATTATTGAGCGAATTGAGTTTTTATTTACACATGGTGGTGGAAGAGAAAGAAGAGATTCATGTTCATCTGCTTTTATTTTTTTTTAGTTAAGCCCGTTTTTCAGAATTAAATTTTTAGATTGTTTTGCGAATGGGAAACTTGAAATAGCAAAGCAAAAAAAACTGGCAATGTCTGCAAAATTATTTGTTTTTTTTTAAATCTAGAGACTATATGCTCTTAAAAAAATACAAATTGAATGTATGATGGTTTCGAATTGTCCTCATGATTAACTGTATGATCTTTCAGGAGGAGCATGAGTAAACAAAGAATGTCTCGCAGTGACTACATTTATCGCACGTGGCTACATTATGAACCAAAATGACCTCGACACACTGTCAAAATTTTAAATAGAAAAAAAACCGAAACTGACGTATGGCAAAATAAATACTATAATGATGTCAGTGAATATGTTCTATGAATCCTAAAAAAAGACCTCAAAATATCAAGACCCTCAAAAACCAATACGAACATATTTAGATGTATTCCTATAGCATTTATTCTCCTGAAAATGATATATTATAGAAAAACATTCGATTAATGAAATGATTAAAAATTGCTTGTAGTAATCTAAGCACCGAGTTTAAGATTTTTGTAGCTTTAGAAATAGCTTGTAGTGTTTTTTTTATTTATCTTATTTAATAATATTTCAGTAAATTGAGAGAACAATTACCAAGAATAGTTTTTCTTATGCAAATTTAATATATGGTTTGTTTTATGTCCATTTCTAACATTGTTGAAAAATTTGAAAGCAAAAGTTTCCGAAGAATAACAAGCACCAATTGCTCAAATTTGACGCTGCCATAAAAATCGCAAACATTGTTAAATACGTCGTATGCCATCATTTCCTTATATGTTATTGCCAATTTCATGTTAAAGTCTTTCCGAAAACGCTATTACAATCCTGCAAATGAAATAATGATTTCTTGGCACTCATTCGCAACTCTAACATATGGCACAAATAGTTTGATCTTTAATTTGGAACGTCATTTTCGGACATGCGTTTCTCATTGGAATTTCACTATTAACATTTCAATTAGAGTTCTTCATGCTCATCATTGTGAGACTCATGTCAACTCTCTCAAATTGAGTGCATTACAAAT